CTGGTCATTTTCAGGGATATTCGCCATTGATGACGCTCAAGAACACTTTGAAAAAGAAAGCACTTGAGTCCGTGCGAAAAATTCGCTGATAATTGAGTATTAGTGTGTGGTTAAGCATGTAGAAACTTTTTATTGTTGCAATCGAGACTTAGACTTGTTTAATGACTAATGAGTGAGAACGCGAGTATTATGAATCACATTTCTAAGACAAATTTTGTCATTACATTTTTGTGGTTGCGTTATGCTAAAGACATAGAAAACGTTGAATTTATAGTTTACATTTTTTCAGCTCTTCTAGTTTTGGTGAAGTTTGTCATGAATGTGCTTCGTAGGTAATTAGCATGGAACCCGGCTAATTTGACGATCATTCTACAAAATCGATTCAATCGTGTAGTTTTCATGTACCTATAAAATTTCATAAATATAAAATCAATGGTTCAGTAATCATTTAGTCGTGCTGATTAAATGCGTTGCTAAATGTCCTATACTTGACTGTTTTCTATCTAGCGACGCCTGACAGTTGTTATAGCTGCCAGTGACGTCTGAATGTTGTTATAGCTGCCAGTGACGTCTGAATGTTGTTATAGCTGCCAGTGACGCCTGACAGTTGTTATAGCTGCCAGTGACGTCTGAATGTTGTTATAGCTGCCAGTGACGTCTGAATGTTGTTATAGCTGCCAGTGACGTCTGAATGTTGTTATAGCTGCCAGTGACGTCTGAATGTTGTTATAGCTGCCAGTGACGTCTGAATGTTGTTATAGCTGCCAGTGACGTCTGAATGTTGTTATAGCTGCCAGTGACGTCTGAATGTTGTTATAGCTGCCAGTGACGTCTGAATGTTGTTATAGCTGCCAGTGACGTCTGAATGTTGTTATAGCTGCCAGTGACGTCTGAATGTTGTTATAGCTGCCAGTGACGTCTGAATGTTGTTATAGCTGCCAGTGACGTCTGAATGTTGTTATAGCTGCCAGTGACGTCTGAATGTTGTTATAGCTGCCAGTGACGTCTGAATGTTGTTATAGCTGCCAGTGACGTCTGAATGTTGTTATAGCTGCCAGTGACGTCTGAATGTTGTTATAGCTGCCAGTGACGTCTGAATGTTGTTATAGCTGCCAGTGACGTCTGAATGTTGTTATAGCTGCCAGTGACGTCTGAATGTTGTTATAGCTGCCAGTGACGTCTGAATGTTGTTATAGCTGCCAGTGACGTCTGAATGTTGTTATAGCTGCCAGTGACGTCTGAATGTTGTTATAGCTGCCAGTGACGTCTGAATGTTGGTATAGCTGCCAGTGACGTCTGACAGTTGTTATAGCTGCCAGTGACGTCTGACAGTTGGTATAGCTGCCAGTGACGTTATTAATAGGTGTCGCGAATTGCCTATTCTGCCTGCATGCACTTCCGTTGGTGTAGGCGTAGCAACACATGATATTTTAATACCGCGCTCATGCGACAGCGAGGGTCGTAAGGAAAATAAAGGAGGACTATACTTGCATCGTTCGCAAGAGAAAGTAAGTCATTGCAATACTGGTGCTATAGCCTATGCTGACGGAACTATTGAAGTTTTTACGATGTCTGCGAATTGGCTAATTGGTCATCCCTGCCGCAGCCAACCAACGCTACGGTCATCTCGCGCTGGCAAATATTCTTGGTATAGTCATCAGATTAGGTGACATCCTATATCAGCTTCTCTATTTACTGGTTTAACTTTTAAATTAAGTGAAACCCGATACGAGAATCTCCATTTCCTCGTGTAAGCAATGAAGTAAGTGACATGGTGCTCGTTTAATATCCTGCGTGGCCTTTCATGTTGTTTCATCCAGTTCATTCTATCAACGATGTACTGTGAGTCGCGCGCTCATGCGGAACTCGTCTCGCTCCTGTGATAATTATAAGAATACTCATAAGTAACATCGTCTTGTTCCTGCGATAATTATAAGAATACTCATAAGTAACATCGTCTTGTTTCTGCGATAATTATAAGGATACTCACAGGTAACATCGTCTTGTTCCTGCGATAATTATAAGGATACTCACAGGTAACATCTTGCGACGTGTGTAGCTTATGCACCGATTACGCCACATCTGACATATATTAGTGCATATCAAAGCGTTGCTGGTTATCAAAGCGGTACTGGTTATCAGAACGCTACCTGACTTGTATTCATGCTAACTCTGATTTAAACCAACATGCAGAAGAAGTTAAGTTTCAATTATTCCCTTGCAGTGTTTATGAGATGTGATTGGCTGTTCACTTGCAATCGCTTTATGCGAGTTCTTGATCGCGGAGTTTTTCATCCATTCATCACAATAATGAATGCTTCGTCATTCTCGTGACGATTTCACAGCGTCATTGGTTCCAACCACCGCATTGCACAGTAATTCCAGAAGGATGTGCTAAAGTGTGCAGACCTGTGAACAGATTCAATTTAATTACCTTGCGTTTGGAGAGGCCGTGAGCGATCCTGTCACCGATTTCTGTCATTACCTACTAGCCTAATACTAATGACTCAGCTGTTACCGAGATTTATCTTGAGTGCCGTTCTATCAGGAGTATCCGCGAGCACTCGTCATGGTTATTATTATTGCTTCGATATGTGGCGTTCGACTGCGAGTTTCACCATGTGTTCGCTGGAGCGTCAACTTCTTGCGTTTTTGGTCGCGTCCTCACAGCATAAGATATTCGGTTTATCGCTAGGCTCTGTAGCTCACGTGGTTATGGTCTTACTTGTTCCAGTAATTATTTACGGCTGAGCGTACGGCGCGTGCTCTTCTTGTGCTCGACTTGCGATGGTTCTGTACAGCACCTCGTGATGACCGATATCTTCTCTCTTGCCGCAGTCGCATGTCGACTCTTATACTTGCAGCTCCTATGTCCATTCACTTTTATTGAGATTATTGCATTCGTAAAATGTTTCAATTAATAATAATTAATGTATCTTAGAATGTATTCATTTTAGATAGCCTCAATTTAGAAAGTACTGTTAATAAAAAACTAAGTAAAAATTCGCTGAGAATTAATCGCGATTATTTCCTCCTGTCATAATTGCCTCAGTTTATAATCGGCTGGATAATTAAAATTAGTTTCATTGAGAATCTAATTCTGCTAGGAAATATGATTCATGTAATGAAAAATAGGCTGAGGGCCAAATCCGTTAAATTATCAAACTATGTTGTAGTTTCAGGCTCGGAACTCTTCCATATTCCCGTCTTATGACTGAAGAATAACCGCATGAAAGGCCAACATACGCACGTGTATGAATTATTTTATTGTAATACGTCTGGAAGTCGACCCCGATTGTCGAAATCACACGCAATGCCACTAAAGCGATCAACTCTCATTACAGGTTGCTTGCTGTTTCTCGCTCATCAACTGCACGCTTAGCTTCCAGTAAGGGAAAAGTCTCGCTATGTAAGCTGCCACAACCATTATATTTCCGCTGCTAATGCGCCGTCACCACCGATCATGAAGCAATGCTCATTCAACTTGTAATGAGCTTGCATTAAAACAGCTGTCATGTCATGTTAGCTTGAGAATAACTACTTGTGCTTGAATTCTCGCCGTTCTTAAAACTTGGCGCTACAACATTCACCTCGCGCGATAGTTCCGTCGTGACTGAAGTGACTGCCACCAATTAAATTACTGTTCGATTCTGAACAGTCGTTATAGTGCTCGCGATTAATGGCAGCGAAGCGCTGCTCTCGCTCGTTCAATTTTTGCGACCCAGCGCAACATTGTTCCGATTTTCCCCGATTGCCGTAATTTCCCTTGTTTCCGATTAGAACAATGTCCCCGGTCTCCCGATTGTCTAGATTTCCCCGGTTTATGTTGGGGCTTAAATTTTATGTGCGTTATTTGAGCAACGCCCTGTAGCTCTCCTGTATGTCTAGCCGATGCGCGCTTAAATCGGTCTTTCTATCGATTCAATTTACACCGATTAAGAATAATTAAATATAGTTCATTGCTAATATTAATCATTTGCCCACATGAATCAAGGAATTAGTACCATTTTCGCCCATATGGGTTAATTTACTTATTGCAAGCGTATGTCTCGCCTCTCGTCCGCTTGAAATTTTTATCTGGTCGACTTTACGTTTCTCAGAAGCTCAACTAACATACATTGAGAGGTCACATGTATGAGCGGAGCAATTATGCCTCTGTTCTGAGATAAATTTCTTTTGCCTTGTATTTTTCACTACGTTCTAAATTGTTATATTGATGCGAATTAAAATTTTCACGTTTTGATCTATAAATCATTTAAATCAATGGGTTCTAATAAAGCGAAGTAATTTACGCTCACTCACTGAACATCACAGTGATCGAGGCTTGGGTGGGTTCAATTGTTTGCGGGAGAAAGTTTCGCTTGTTTCCGCGCGCTCAGTAATTTATTATAAGTAATAAATGTTCTGCAAGAGTAACAGTATTTTTCTGTCATACTGTACGAGTTTCCAGGTGTGAGATGATTTTTCGCGCAGTTTTTCATCGTATCGTTAGAATTGCTATAATAAAATTGTTGCATCTCGCCCGACCGATGCAAGCAAAATCTATCTAACTGCAAATGCCTTCCTTACTATATGTCCTTTTTCACGAATAAAGCAGCTAATACCGCAATTTTCCTTGCACATTTAATATGGAAGAAATTATTTAGTACCTGTAATACAATGGCTGATAAAAGTGTATCCTTTTTAGCGAATTTTCTCATTTATGGAAAAATGCACTATTGCGTGCTCGCCATGTCCGTCCGTCCGTCTGTCCGTCCGTCCGTCTGTCCGTCCGTCCGTGACCTCAAGTTTTCGTCGACGAGAAAATGCGCTCTCTGTCACTCACTGCAGTGAGTACTGAGTTATATTTTTTATACTTATCGAATGCAGAGACATGTATATTTCGCTTTTATTTTTTAATTACCCGTATATTAAATTCCAGCATGACGGCATTATAGTATAACTGTTGTCCCCTTTAATATTACAGCCTCATAAGTGATGGTCACGTTTCGTTGTTGCAGGTGCTGAGCGTACGGCCCGCCTCCCTCATGTTCTGCGCCGGTCAGGTAATAACGCGACAATTTTTTAGAGTTCGTATTTAAGCGAAATAAGAAATAACTTAGTTTCCAGACTTTATATAATAAATGAATTTATTAATATTAGTTAGTACTATTTTAGTTGTATGTGCCACTGTATGCGCAGTGATGGCGGCACCGAGAGAGAGGAGCTAGCCGTGGGTTTGAGCCTTGGAAAGCTCTGTTTATTTCTAGGTGTCGCTGCATGGTGGGCGTCGCTTGGTTGCCTTCAGTAGGTGGTGCTTGCAGCATGGCTTTGGGATAATGTCCCTAAATGAACTGTGGGTACTTGTTACCTGGGGTGATGTTAAGCTCTAACTTTTAAGGTTTCATTGGGAATTGATAATCAATCAAGAGTCTGAAATTTCATTGACAAGTTGGTTATCTTACGTAAATTGACACTTTTCCTGCACAATAAGTTGAAAAAAATCTTCTTGGCCTCAGTTCCATGAAGATTCCAGCTTATTGGGCAGGCTGTTTTATACTTGGAACGCATCACACAACACTTGCACCACACCACACCACAAGACTTGCACCACACAACACTTACACCACACCACAAGACTTGCACCACACCACACTAAAAAACGTGCACTACACCACACCACAAGACCTGCACTACACCGCACTATATACAAGACTTGCACCACACCACGTACAACACTTGCACCACACCACAACACTCGCGTGTGGACACTGAAAATTGTACGCATTCGTAACGCAATTCCGTGTGACAGCATCACCCTGTACGCATGCGTGATTATCAGTGTGACTGTCACGGCTAGCAGCCAATTTCACTATATTGTTATTTCTACTAACTACTGCCCAGTTATTGATCTTACCTGTCGTCATAATGGTTTATTAAGAGATTATCCAATGGCATCAATTCATCTAATATAATTCTGTTTAGAGTTCAGCCTGATAAAAACGCATCGAAAACATCTAACAGATTTCGTTCGACATGTTCAGTGTCCGATATCCGAGTCCCAGTTACGAACTTTTTCCAGATTTGTTGAGCGTTACATAATTAGCAAGGAGTTGTTAATTCACTTTAAGTATAAGTAATTTCACTTTATCTCTATATTGACCGTCGAAGTGTTCCGTAGTTGCCCTTCAAATTCGACTCGCTTGAGTTAACTTTAATTTTTATTTTATTTCTACCGTGATTGCAAGTTAACAGAGCAAGACCGCTGCGACCTTGCTTTGTCTCGCACTAACCGTCATTGCACCATTTGCTCGTTCTTTGTTTAATTTAACGTGAAGTATTTCATTCATACTGTATTGTAATCTATTTGTTATACCGGGGGATGCAACGCTCAGACTGCTGCCTTATTTTAAACAAGAGCTGGTGCAGTTGATCACTTCTTCTTCGGCGTTGATATCTCTTTGTAGAGAGACGCAGCTTTTTGCCTTGGATCTTTGTATTTATACTTGTTTGTCGTCTGTGAAATGAGTTAGATCATCGAATTTATGTTAAAATGCCAAATTAAGATGTGCATCTCCGGGAATTGTTACTTAACTTCCACTTAGATGCGCTTGGGTTGTTAATAATTGAATGCGCTGAGCGTTATCCGTAGACTAGCCTTTCATTTTGATGACAAAGCGTCTATTAGTATTCATGAAATTTCAAATATTTGTCGATTTATCGAAGTCAAGCACAAGAGGCTTTGTTATGTCATAACGTGTGCGCGCAAGCGCTCATTTTACGGTCCGTTGAATACGACTGGTTTATGAACACCAATTTCTCAAACAGATGCTGTTTTGCGGTCACACAGCAATAGGAAAGATGTATAGTTAAGTGTCATCACTGTGCGCGACAAATACATAATTGCGACACCCTAGTGTCAGGAGCCAGTGATATATGAGCACCCTTTCCTCTAGAAGTGATAATGATGGTGTTAAGAGACGTGATGCAGCTGCTGCCTAGCTTGCGTGAGTGCCGTGTTGTGAAAACTTGATCTGGTCTCGACACATCGGCTGTATTTTGTTGATGATCATCAGATGCAACTGTCGGTGATGGCTATCAGATGCAACTGACGGTGATGGCTATCAGATGCAACTGTCGGTGATGGCTATCAGATGCAACTGTCGGTGATGATGCTTAGCCGGTTATAGTTCAGTTCATTGTTCCTGGACAAAATTTATAGCGACTGCTGTTTTTTGCATCTGCTGTGACACTTTTCATCCGCGTTACGGTACCGTGTACGTGACACTCTGGCACCGAGATTGCACTTTTCAAATATTGAAAATTTCCTATAGGGTCCTGCGAAAACCTGATTATTAATTGAATTGACGCTGATCTTTTTTTGTTTATGTTAATATGTACTTACTGAATAGTTGCGAAATTTTACATTTTGACGAATAATTTGAAATGTGTGTCTGCTTTTATGCCAAGTGAAATTATCTTCTTTTATCACATTAAGACGCCTGGACATTGCTTTCAGATTAAATGCGAAATTCGTTCGAACCTTTCTTTAACAATCAACCTTCCATCTAACTAAGAAGATACGTTCATTTCGTGCTTCTAAATGCGAGTAGGATTACAATTTGTTACCCCTAATCAAATTCTGTAATCAGCTAAAAAAGATTTGAATTTAGATTCCTAAAATAAAATATCAGTTCCATATAAGTAAAATATCAGTTCCCAACCCGATAGGTCTTGTGTATATGCGCACAAATGGTCCCTATGAACTAGTATATTTCTAGCACTCTGCTTCAGTCACACAAATTTATAAAAACTAGATAATAATGGTCTTGAGCTTCGGTAACGACAACCTCGTTCTATCATGCAGCACCCTAAAAAATGGTTTGATTTTCTTAGCAACGCGCGCTTGCAAGGTTACCGCAGCGTTCATCAATCAGAGCAGTCATTAGAAACTCGGTGCGTATAAGATTCCAAGTTATTCGAGTACAAGATTTCGAGTTATTTGTGTGGTCATGCGTGGCTTGCGAACTCTGCCGACTCTTTCGTGGTGTGAAATTCAAGGTAAAATTTCACCCACAGTTGTATTTGTGTCATTGAATAATTGAGAATACATGTGAAAAGCTGGTCGAGTTGAAGAACAGGAATAGGTTTAAAGACGTGGCGTTAGGTTGTAGATGGATGTGAGGAACGCGGCTAGCCAACTAATAAAAATGTTAGAATTAATTGATCAGATTTATCGAGTAATTAAGAAGTAACAGCACCTAATACTAGAGGTTCTAATCATGCAGAGATACGATGGAATTTACGTTGATTTCACGAAAATAGTCGTGAGTTACACACATTTCATTGAATGAAACACTAGTTTTACTGAAATATTTTCACGTGGGCTATATATATATCAATGGGGATCTTGATCTCGCAATAAGTTAGGTGCTGTTTAATTGTGCATTGGTAGTTCTAAATCAGACGTTTCATCATCTTTATAGTGCGTCAATCTCTCATCAAAATGTCTTTACCGCAATTCAATTCATTTTTTTAATCTCATTTCATGAGATGCACGCAAAGAAACCGGACCTACATTCGAGAAATAAAACCTAGAGGCCGGCGCGAGTGACACATCACACAGAGTTCATCAGATCCACGTCTATGATCGACATGAATGTATAGCGTTAGTCTATGAAGAGCTATAATAATTTATCTGAAACATAAGTAATGTGTGCAGACCTCGAAAATCGATGTATACGGTCGCTTATCATATTTTTCGAGGTAAAAGTTTTATTTGTAAAATCGCTTTTTATTCGTCAATTTTAGACGGGTTTTCGGTTGTTATTTAGAAACGCTTACTTTGCTGGTCAAGTGAAGGCAGTAAAAACGGCACAAGATTAATCATGAATTCTATGGGTTCTTTTTTTGCATTAACGGTTCATTTTCATTTCGCTAGGTTAAATGATCATTTATTATAATTACTTTAATATTAATTCAATTTCGTGAGTATCCAATCAGGTGTTAAATGAACCTGCATCAAATTACTGAAACTTTCACCCTTTCATATTATAAACAACATGCCTAATATCTGGCTGCGTGTGGTCAGACGACATTTTCAGACGCGAGATCGTGGTGCGCTAATATATATACTATCGCACGAAACTTCCGTCAAGAACATCCCAGATTCTGACGAAAGCTACGGTTTTATTTCCGGCATCGTGACAGCCTTGGCATGTCGTGAAGCCCATAATGCAGCGTGGCTCTCTATAGCCAAGTGTCTTTTCGAGTTGGCGTCTGCAAAACAAGCGATACGGCCATTACTTTTTATTCTGCACCGTTGCTGAGTAGGTCAATCGGGCTGCGAAAATAGCGGGTACATCTCAGTTGAGGCTCGGTGAGTGCACGTCTTTTTATTCTTTAGAACGGTCATGATATGCTCATTTGTTGATATTCAAGAAAAAATGTTTAACTTTTACAGTCAATGTAGGAATCAAAAATAAATTTTGATTAGTATTTTATTTGTAACGGAGACGCTATGTGTGATCGCACGGCAACACTTGCATTGTTCATTAAAAAGTTGAAAACAGTCGATGTACTATTACGAACAAAAGGCCGCGTAGGCTTACATGGGTGGTGCAATTTAGCCATTACTTTAGGAAACGCTTGTCATTAGAAGATTTATGGGAACGCGAGAGCTGTTAAACCGTGCATGTTGTGTGCAACCGCGCTGTACAATAAGTGTACATGTCGAGGCTGCATTGCAGTGTAATGCTTTTTATGCAATGTAATGCCATTTAATGTGATGAAATACAATATACAATGAATGTGCTTTGGGTGGTCACTTCTGAGAGCGTGACAAGATCCATTCGCGAAGTAGAACGACCGTGAAAGCAAGAAGAGAGCTTTTATGTAATCAACGCGCGCTGGTAATTGGTCAGGCGCTGGTAATTGGTCAGGCGCTGGTAATTGGTCAGGCGTTGGTAATTGGTCAGGCGCTGGAAATTGGCCAGGCGCTGGTAATTGGTCAGGAGCGCCGCCTTTGTCTGTAGAGTTGGTCCTAAACTGTGACGTTGAATGCACG